TTTCACCGGTCTATATGAAATCATGATTTTCATATAGACCGGTGAAAATAACCTAGAAGAAAAAGCACGGGTTGTTACATAGTACCCATGGAATAAATGGTGGTTCTTTCTGTACCGGTTGTCCTGATTTTGATGACAATGGGTATTTTATTTCGTTATTTTAAAATTTCATCTCATACAGTAAACTCATACTTTTTTAAAAAAAAAAGTCACGGAACGCATGTTGCAGCAATCGTATGTATTACTCAACATATATGAAACTAAAGTTATAAAAATTAATAAATCAGTTTCCCATCTAATTTTTTTAATTTAAAAATTGTGATCATTTTAATATTATAGTGTGGAGGTGAGTGAATGTTAAGAATAATAATAATAATAACTATAATTATAGTTATTTGTCGAAAATCTTTGACGGATAATCAGTTATTGGCCGCGAAGCGGCCAATAACTGAAAATTTATCCGTCAAAAACTTTCGACAAATAACGTTATTATTCGTCTAAGATTTGTTAGATGTATTCGGCCGCGATAGCGGCTGAATTATTATTATTTTATCATCTTATCATTATTCTCATTGTTATTGATTGAAAAACGAATGTATATTACCCAAATTTAAATCTATTCAGGTTCAACCTATGGAGTAGCAAAAAATGTTAAATTAGTAGGCGTTAAGGCTTTAAACTTTGCAGGGACAGGCTTTGTTTCCGACATTTTATTGGGTTTAAATTACATAGCAAGCCAACACAATGATGGTGATAATACAGTGATCAAGTAAATTTTATTTTAATTACATAAGATCTTGGCTAAATGACTATTTAGATTTTATGAATAAAAATTATTTAATGTGCTCACAATAAAAAAAATAATTTAATGTGCTCACCAAGTTCTACAAAAAAAAGAATAACTGGAAAATTTAAATTTTATTCATAAAAATCTACATGATCCCGTAAGGTCATGTTTTATAGCAAAGATCTATATACTGTAATAACGTTAATAAAAAAAATATAATTATTTATAATTATTTTACTTTATAGTATGTCCCTCGCCTCTACATTTGTGCAAGTGTTCAATGATGTTGTTAATGGAATGGCTGCATTAGGCATTCATGTGGTTGCTGCCGCTGGAAATTTTGCTGATGATGCTTGCCTGTATTCACCAGGATCCGCTGCAAATGTTATAACAGTTGGTGCCACTGATCCTACCAGTAATAGTATTACATATTTCTCTAATTATGGTCAATGTGTTGGAATTTTTGCCCCAGGTATTAAATTAAAATTCTGTTATGATTTATTTGAAATTTGTATTAATATTAATTTATTTGATTTTATATAAAGGTCAAAGGATTCTTTCCGCTGGGATTTTGTCTACTATTGATCAAGCTGTATATTCTGGAACCAGTCAAGCTTCTCCTCATGGTATCCGTAATAAGTGGTCTTGATACGTCGTCTCCAAATATATTTTTGCGTGTTCCATCTCTACCTTCTGAATGCTCCGAGTCCACGCCCGATTCCGATCCCGATCAGAATCAGGACTCAACTCTAGACCTTTCAGATCCAGACCTAGACTTCTTAGATCAAGATCTAGACCTCCCAGATCAAGATCAAGACCTAGACTTCTCAGACCAAGATCAAGACCTAGACTTCTCAGACCAAGATCAAGACCTAGACTTCTCTGACCTAGATCTCTCTGACCCATCCCTAGACTTCTTAGACCCCCAAGATCCTCCAAACACCTCAGATCTAGACCTTGGACTATAAATAGTTTATCACCAATATTAGTCAGTCGAACAATCAGACTGAATTCTAATCCAAATTAGTGAGTATCTCAATTCCATTAAATTACCAAATCATCAGGAATACTTAAAAGTCATCACTATCGTTATCATTCTACAACTTCAAGAGTCATTATAATTAAAAAAATTATGTTAATAATGTAATCTATAAAATTGTTGACAATTTATAGATGCTGGTTGTTAAAAATCAACTTGATTTAGCATTATATAATCCAAATATATTATTATCGTTTAAAAAAAAAACTTGTTTTGCCTAAGAGGGTTTATTTAGTGTGATTCAGATTTAAAAGAGGTTTTTTGCATCCTTAATACATGCTCACGTTAAGTGAGATAAAGGTCATTTATATTTCATCATATTTCTTTATAAAATCTTGAATATGATTGATTAGTTTTTTATAATTAATTTTTACAAATGGCTTTATTATAATATAGTGCGTAGCTAGTCCAGAAGTTCCGCACGTGCTAATATGAATTTTGGTGTTTCAAAAAGGTCGGATCCATGTGTAATTGGATTAGTTCAAACAAGCCCATGAATAATCCGTATTTTTAGCTAACTTGCAAAAAATTATAGAATTATATTTTTCTTATTATAATATTAATGTGTGTCAAATTTATAAATAGTATAAGACGACAAGGGCGTGCTTGGTCACCTTTTTTACACTTTCCTAAAATTTTTTGAGAATCTCACTTTATTAATTATACTTGGCAGGTTCTTGTCGTTATTATTATACTTCCCTAGCCTAATATCAAGTGTATAATTCTCAAATAAAAGCTCAAAGATGAACAAACATGAATATGGATAATTACATTAAAAAATTTTAGCTTAAAGCAACGAAAGGATTTTTTAAATAATCTTTATTAAATTATTTGGTTTTGAGAATGCCAAAAATTGGTTTACAATTTTAAAAACAAGTTTTTTGGTTTCTAATATCTGTGAAATGTACAGTACGTACGTACTTAGGTATTATGGCGAATGCGGATAAATTAACGAATTGAACACATTACAAGAAAAACGGGATTTTTACTAAATAAATCGATCTTCAGTCAATAAATAGAATTGTTCGAAATACTTTTCTTACTCTCAAAGTTTGATGAAATGCGAATAACCTTTGCTGTTTTTTTTTTTGTTATAAGTTTTGTCGCAGAAATTAATTTCTGCGCCAAAGCATATAGTGAAAAGCCTAGTTGTCCGGAGCGAAGCAGAGGACACTGTTTTTACAACGCTGTTTGATCGATAGTGTCACGTGTGTCCGTCTGTTCGCTTCCGCTTACCTGATTGGCTACTACTCACATGCTTATTGATACTTATGTGTTACATGATCGTCACATTTTTTGATCGTTACACTTTTTTAATCGTTACCTTGCAATACAAGAACAATTTTTATTTATACACTTTAAAGTAATTAATTTTTTATTTAAGCTCCGGACTTATATCGGTTCCCGATTCCTAGTAATAGTTATTTGTACATTGCGAGTAGTAAAAATGGTATTTCGAACAACTCTACTTAGTGACTGGAATTCGATTTATTTAGTAAAAAGTCCAGTTTGGTGTGTAAAACGATTATTAGCTAAAAAAAAAAACTAATGAAATTCAAGCATCATAACTTTTCAATTGATTTTATTATAATACTCTTAATTTCTATACTACTTTTTATCTGTTCTTTATCTATTATTCTAAAATTCTTTATCTTATGGCTGGATTTCAATATGCTTCTTTCGCAGATTCAATTTGAACAGTTTCAATCCGAATCCTATTATTTTCCTGACAACCACTTTCCAGATAATGCCAAAATCCCGACAAGTTAGCTCGCATTAGGTTAGGGTTAGTGTCAGTTCTGGTCAATGCTTGTCGGGATTTTGTCGGGAAAATAATAAAGACCCGTTTCAATCACATCTTATGGATAATTAAAATTAACTAATAAAGATTTTATTGTAATTAGTGACGATTTATTGTAAATTGGATTTAATACTTTAAGCATTTTGTTCTTTGACAATTTTATATCAAAAGGAAATATTACGTGATCATAAATTACTATTTTTAATCATCCCAAAATGTTAAATTCAGTGAACTTTATTTTGGTGGCAAAATGTATAGACCTTGAAAATTAAATTTCTGTTATTTATAGAAAGATGGTGATTATATGTCTTAAATAAAGATTAGGGAAAATGCATTCATGCGTATCAGATAAAATTATTCGAATTATTTAATTATTTTACTTAAGCTGTTTCCGGAGTTTGATCTTTTTCGAAAACAGCCATATAATTTTTTTTAACCTCCACTTCTCCATCACCTAAAAACTTATGTCGGTTGCCTCCGGTGTAGAGATGGGCAAAATTATTATGTATTCTTACTTAATATTACTTAATATTACTTCAGTTTTTTTGCATTAAGTAATAATAATAAGTAATGCTTTTTAATAAATTT